GGTGAAGTGTTATAAATAATGCAATACATTTAAAACAGCATAAATTTATGCTCAAACTATGTGTGCTGAATGCACATCGCATATTAATAGTTATTTTGCATTAATTCGTAACGGACTTGTGCTTAACGGTTTTTTTGAAAATTCAAATTTTCACTTACGAATATTCATGAAAAAATTACATGTCAATTTTTTTGTCTTACCAGAATATCTTTAGCTGCTCAAATTTATGGTATAATTAATAATTAGTAATATTAATTAAACTATAATGAATCATATAAATGACTTTAGAGCATCACAAGTATAATATTTAATACAAATCAAAATTTTATATCATTGACATTGGATTTTTTCCCATATAAAAAAGTTTTACATAAATTGTACTATAATTAAGCATTTTTGTGTTTCCAAAGTGTTAAAATATTGTATTGTCACCGGGAATACATGTGCATTAAAAATTTGAGCTCGATTGGAGCAGTAGAAGTGGTCGAAAAATTGATCGCAAGATTTGAAATTTTTTGCAAACAAACAAACAAACAAACAAACAAACAAACAAACAAACAAACAAACAAACAAACAAACAAACAAGAAAGCAAGTTAAGAAAAACGTAGTAAAAAAAGACATTAAAAAAAGAAAGAAAAATAAAGGAAGAAAGGAAGAAAAGAAAGGAAAAAAAGCATGAAGAAAGTCGAACAATTTAATCAAAATGGTCAAAAATCAAGTAATAATAATGAAGTCTCACCAGCAAACTTCTGTTGATGCCACAAAATTTATGGACCCAGCTTTGAAATCTGATACACTCTGCAGCGTAAAACAGGCAAAAGAGTGTGTAAGCTTCCCAAAAAGAGACATTTGCACGATATGTGTGATGAAAATCATTCCGTCTCGTCCAAATATTCACTGTCTTATTCCAAGATGCAACTTTAATCATGATAGGATATTCTATTACAAGAAAAACGTCGTTTAGCTAAAAGATCAGGAAAATGGATTAGAAAATAATTCATTATTAAATGCATGATGATTCTTCTGAAGACAGTAATTGGGAGAAACTGAAGAAATCTAGCACTTGAAAAAGTTTACAGAAGATCACAAGGTTAAAACATCTCTTATATTACTCTTAATTATAAAGAATAGACAGAGCATTTCATCTAGATTCCGGAAGCACTAAAAGCTTAAAAGATGAGACTTGGGCAAATAAATTAAAATTGGATGGACCATCAAAACCAGTTAAATTGTCATGGTTAGGAAAAATAAAAGGATATGATTATGAGTGAAGGATTTTCTTAAAATGGACAGAAAATAGCTTCGGGTATGAATTGCCGTTGGAAATAATTTTGAATTTTAGATTGAAAAGTAAAGAGTTGAATTGAATTGTGGTTAAGAGAAGAAGAAGCGTGAGAAGCAGCTTAGAAAATGTCCCAAATGTCTAATATTTCTAGATCCATTGATAAGAAGTGATAAGTCTAATGCAGAATATTTCAAAAAAAGTTCAAAATGATTGTGTTAGGGATAAGGGGGCTTTAAATCATGAAGGGTTATACACTAGTTTAAAATTTAGGCATTAATTTTCAAAAGTTTGATGAGGATTTGATAATTCATTAATCACGAATTTTGCCATTTAGATGTTAAGATAAAAGATCTGGCGTTTTTTCGTTCATGATTAAGTTGAATGATTTTGGATGTTAGATCGGCTTAAAACTACGAACCTTTCAAGTTGGACGACATAACAGCAATGCAGCAATTTATAACATTCTTGATCACCTAAATGTTTGACTCGCTTGTCTTTTTAAAATTGAGGTTGCTCAGCAGCAGTTGGAGACGAAGTGGATCAAAAGATGACTGTATTGGCTGTGTATCTTATACCATACAAGGAACTTGCAAATTTGTCTTTGTTTTATTGCGAATTGAAGTATTCTGTGGTGGAAAATTTGACGTTTTGCAACTCTTTTTCTTTTTCATTTTGTTACATAATTTCAGAATCGTCCCTTTTTCTGTTTCAGCGATTCTTCTTCTTAAACTTTACTTACAATCAATTGATTCATTTCCCAAGCTTCAATATCTGGTCGTAGTCGTGTTACTAGAACCACTAAAGAAGAAGAAGAAGGAGAAGAAGAATTTATTACATGCACATTAAGTTTTATTTTAAAGTATTTTAAGTTATTAGAACAACAGTTTGTAGCATTTATGAAGACAAGATAAGTCATAATTTGACGGATGCAAGATTTTAAGATTGTCAAATTGGAATCAAAGGAAATATTAGAATTTATTTTGAGATTGTGATTTGAAGCAATTCAATGTTCTAAAAAGACTGCATACGTCGATTGAGTGAATATTGAAACTTTAATTTGTGATTCAATATGATGAATTTTCGAGTCAATTAGAATTTAATGCACAAATATTAGCAAAAGGTTTGTTAATAGTCAATCAGCTAATATAAAGTTTGTTGTGAAATTCGAAGGCAGTTCAGTAATTTGCATAATTTTATTAAGAGCAAGGGCGTAGCCAGGAATTCTGTTCCAAGAACTCTGTTAGGAATGCTTGAGTGTGAGTCAGACTAAAATAAGACGATGAATTTACAAATAAGCTGTTTAACATTGCGCTTGAGCGAGTTTTTAGGAATGCCAAACTAGAACTGGAACAAGAAGAGAATAGGATCGGGCTTTGGGTCAGCAAGAAAAAGGCAAAATATCGCAAGGCAGCTGCAACCGAGAGAATATAAAACCTAGTCGACTCTCATTTGGTCATTGGAGAAAAGAGATTTAAGGTAGTCAACTACTTTATCTTTATCTATGGTCTTTGAAGTAAGGATGTAAGTAAGTATGACTTACTATTATCTTGATTTTATTTGCTTCCATTTGCTTCATGATCCTTTAAAACTGTTAACTTTGTCCGTGCTTTAATTCCAATCATGTTGCTTTTAATAATGCTGATATTTGTTAAATGAATTTACACAAGCAGCAGTTTCATATTTAACCCACGATAAATTACACGAAGTCAGAATACTGCCAATCTATATTGTATGAATGCATATTGTTTCCTTAAAGCTCACACTTTTTATATCGCTAATACTCATACTATCCAAATATGCACTTCCTTTAATTTTTTCAGTATCTCATACATGCTTGATTCATCCTTAAATATATTCAATGTCTCATTTATGCTTGTTTGTGACTTTTTCCATTACAGCTTCTTTTTCTTCTTCTTTTAAGTTTACTTTTTTCGTTGCCCTTTGATCATCATGCATTTCCTTATTTATTATCCTTCTTCATTCCGAAATTTCCTTCACTCGAAATATTTTTTTCAATGTTTTGAATTTGATGAATTCAAAAAAAAGAAGATTTTTGCAAATGTTGCTTTGACATGTTTTTTTTGTGTTTTTGTTGATGAAGAAATTTAAGGAATTGAAGCAAATTTCGTGTGTGTCATTTATGAATTTCAGAACTTTTTTCGGGAAAAATTTGTCAAAAGTTGAATTCAGCTAATGAATTTTTCAAACTCTTTAATTAAATTAAAATCGTTTGCTTAATTTTGAAGAGTTAAATCTTGTCATAAATCAAACAAAAGCTTAAAGTGTACTAAAATGAAGCTTATAATCAGATTGAAGATTAATTATCATCACTTCATAAAGTATAAAGCAGGTCGCGATTTTCATTCAAAAATGATTCAATGTCTTTAAATAATGATTAATTTAAAGTCAAAAGTTCTCACATGCTGAATCTGATGGAAGGACATAAAGGGCTGAAATCGTTGGAATATAGAGTTACAGATCTATAGCCTTAGAGAAAATTGATTTCAAAAATTTAACATAATTTTTATTATATGCTAATTAATAAAAGGATGTATGCATTAAACATTAAAGCTCATTTGTTAAGGTCATAACAAGAACACGTTATTCAGTCATCACTGTTCTTTTATTGTTCATCCTCAGCGTTTAGGAAAGGAGATTTAACTTTAACTTTTCAGTCAGTAACGTTCCAATTTAATCAGTCACATCGAATAATTATTCATTGCTTGTTCCTGTTTGTTCCATTGTTAAGCAAAAAATATTAATTATTTAGATTCAAAATTTAAATTAAGTATTTATTGCATAAAACATTTACGAACCATCCATTTAGGACATGTAAAAATACAGCATGAATGTTCATTTTCTCACCCGTAATGAAGCATATTAATTTACGAATAACTTGAAAAATCTTGTTTTGTTGTGACATTTAATGATGCTTAGTGGTAAATTAGTGGTTCGGAATCAACAATACCCTTTATAAAGTTTTAATAATCAGGAATGAGATCTTTTCAATTGTCCATCATAATAATTCGACAAACATACAAAGTGATGTTATTCTTCTTCTTTTTAAATTCAAATAAATCGAATGGGATATGACATTGAAGTTGTTTTGTAAGCTCTTGTAGAATTCATTATGTTCTTCAGTTGTATGCAGTGTTGCAAATGTAGATGTCTACACTAGAGGAAGAATGGAGATTATTTCCTAGAATTTATGTAACACAGACACAGTTTTTGTGTAGATGATCTACTATGATCCTGTCTACACTAGAGGAAGAATGGAGATTATTTCCTAGAATTTATGTAACACAGACACAGTCTTTGTGTAAATCATCTACACAAAGACTGTGTCTGTGTTACATAAATTCTAGGAAATAATCTCCATTCTTCCTCTAGTGTAGACATTTATGATTAACGTGCAAACAGATGAATACAAAATTTTACCAAAAGTTTTTATGGCTTTGAAACATTGATAAACTGCATATTTATACATTAGAAAACCGTTAAATGTGTATCAAATTAAGTCGATGGATTAAAATTAAGAATATAGTTCTTCAAACTTATGCTGAAACTTCTAAAGTAAGAATTACAAACTTATACTGTGCGACAGCACAGCTAATCGATGGAGACTTTCTATAGTCAAAAGGTGAAAAACGTGATTTTTTCAAGTTTTTTTTTTTTTTATTTTGCGGAACGTATTAATAAACGAGCCTATATTTTAATCAAATCTAAAACTTTATTTAAGAAAGGTTGGCATGCTTTTCATACAAATGTAACATTTATTATTTTTTGTTAAAGAAATTCATGATGCTTCCTTGCTTTGTTTTGGGCATATCTTTGACTTTAGTTTTAGGTGTCACCTTTTTTTGTGGAGTCTTTTTTGAAGGCGATTCAATTTTCTCTTGGGACTGAGAATTTTTCTTTATATTGTCCTCATTTTCATTTTCATTTTCGTCATCAGAATATTCTTCGAGTACTTTTTCCGTTCTAATAAAGCCATCGTCTGTTTCAAATCGTTTTGTAACCCAACGTTTTGCCTTGTTTCTGTGTCCCGGTTTTAAATCATCATTTTTCGGTTCTTCCACTTTTTCCTCTACTTCCATTTTTTCTGGTGAACACATTTGCTTTTCCGGTGTCATTTCACGATCAAACTTAATGAATTTACTGTCTGGTAGATCTTCAATTTGTGGTTCAACCTCTTCTTCCTCACTAGAATCCTCCATTACTTGAATTCTAGAACGTTTCTTGTTTGGTGGAACTTTCAATTTTAATTTCTTAGACGGTACTTTCTTGACTGGTTCTTTCTTAAGAATATCTGGCGATGCGGACCTTTTTCTTGGAACCTCCTCCTTTTTTTCTTCGACTTTAATTTCTGGATCTTTTTTGATAAGAGTTGGTTCACTAATAGCCGTGCTACGATTATCTGTCGAACTTTTGTTCGAAGGTTTACCAAAGAATGATGAAATACTGCCTTTTCCTTGAGAAACAGGCTGATTCTTGCCATTTTTCTTTGCATTTGGTTTTACTTTACTTGCTTTCGATTCTGGAGAAACTTTTTGTGGCAATTCTTCTTTAATCGGATCGACAATTTTTACTTTTACAGTTTCTTCTTCTGTCTTTATAATTTCGTCAGTTTTCTCCTTTTTAATTTCCTTCTTTTCTAAAGGTTTAACCATCCCAAATGGAGTTTTTATTTTAGTTGTATCAATCTGGCTTGTGGAAGGCTCTTGTTTTACTGGAACACCCAGATCCCGAGTCCCAATATTGACTTGAAGGTTTTTCCTGTGTTATAAGTAATAAAATTAAATATCATATCAATTTTAAACAGTTTAATAAAGGTAACTTACACATGAATAGGTTCGAAATTCACAGGAAGATCCAGTGATTTTGAATTTGATTTTGTTTCAATGCTGTACAGCCAGCAATCAAAGTTGTTCCATATTTTTGCTAGTTTTTCTTTTTTGTCTTCAGGTACGACACTAATTGAGAATGTTCCTTTTGAGTTCATTCCTTGAATGACAAACTCTTTCACAAGTTCCTTGAGCTTTTTTTCATTTTGTTCTAGCCATTTGTTGAGAACATTTTTAGCAATAGCATTCGATATTTGCCAATTGTTGGATATAGTTTTCAATGTTACCTAACACAAGAACTGAATTAGTGCTTAATTATTGAATTTTATAAAATGTTGTTTACCTTTTGCATAGAATCAAAAACATTTGTAGAAATTTCTTCTAAGCATGACTTCTCAATAGCCGGATCCATTGTATTAGGAAATATACTTTTATTAAATATAAAAAAAAAAAATAATGTGTTCCTTTGTATTTAAGTTAACTTAATTGAATTAAAACTTTTTTTTAAGCGGGAACTTTATTGATAAACAGGGGGAAAATAGCTTGTTGTAAAATTAATAATACAAAAATATCCGTTTTTTCAAGAGTTTGAAAAATTTAAAAATAATTTTATAAAAAAAATACAGAATTGTAGAACTTAATTGATATTTACAAAATATCAAAAATCACACGATGATTCTTCATTTTCTTTTATCACATGATTAGTTGATATAATTTTTTATCATTTTGAGTAAGAATTGCCTTTAGGCAAAGAGTTTTTAATAATTATTTTGAAAGAATTGTATACGTAGAAATAACGCTATTTTAAATTTGAATTTTTGATCTACCGATATCTTAGAAGAAAAAAAAAATAATAAAAAATTTCACAAAAAAAGTCAATTGTGTAAAATACTTAGTTAAACTATGGATTCAGCGATTAAAATAGTTTGAAAACGTTAAAGAACAATAGAAAAGTGTGTTTAAGTGTCGGGAAAGTTGAAAAGCTTATGAAAATAGTGTATATTGTGAGAAAGAAAATATTGATGACCTGGAAATAATTGTCAAACAAGAAAGACAAGAGAAAAAACAGTTTTAAGCAAATCTATTGCGAATTAGACATATAAATTTATGATGTCATTTGTCGGGAACGGCACAACTGGAACTGAAGCAGCTCAAAAGTTTTTAGAATCATTGCAGAATGATTTTCGGAATTTGAGTGCTGAAACAAAGAAGAAAAATCCCCAAATAAAGGAGGTAAAGAAAGAATTATGAGCTGTATGTTAAGCAGTCTGCATGTAAATGTTTTGCTAATGTCATCAGATTCGTGCTTTATCACAAAAATGTTGTACAAACATCACTAATGAACTTACTAGTGAGAGCAATGGATGTTTTCATTGATTTTTCTCTAACATAGACGACAGTAATTTATTCTATTGCTCTCCAGTGAATTACCTCGTTTTATATACACCGTCGTTCATGGTTTAAATCAGTGCTGAATTATTAAAACACTTTCTTAAATGATATCTATTCATATTTAAATTATCCGACATCTTCTTGCTTGAGTGATGATGAACAATTGAAAGAAAAATCCATAAAAGAAATTTACATCCATTCATTGCGTAATTTTCTCCATAATCATGCAACCGCATATTAAGGAAAAATCGATAACATTGTCCATGCATACTTTTACATCTCTACTATCATGTTTGGCTTACAAACCAATCAGCATAACGAGTCATGGTGAAGCAAACAAAAACTCAATGTTTCTATAAAATAATTATTATGTAGGTCGTCGGTACCTAATAAATATAGAGCATAACTGAATAAATAAACAAACATTGACACCATATCCATTAAAGAATGAAGTACATTTTGTCCTATGTTTGTGTATAGTAAATGAATGAGAGAATGATAAATATTTTATCTTATTTGCAGTCATGCGAGGAAGCAATACAGAAATTGAAGTCTGCAGCAGCGAATCCTCAAACACCTGTATCCTATGTGGTTAATCAGATATTATATCCACTCGTACAGGGATGCGAATCGAAGGATTTAAAGATAATAAAATTTTGTCTTGGAATGATGCAGCGCTTAATAACACAACAAGTTGTGGATCAAAAAGGTGCTCGCTATATTACAGATACATTATGGATGCTCATGGAAAATGGAATAGAGGAAGTGAAAGTTCTACAAAGCGTCACATTACTATTGACAACAAATTCTGTTGTTCATGGCGAGACGCTTGCCAAAACTCTTGTTTTGTGTTTTCGATTGCATTTCACAAAAGATTCAACAACTATTAATACCGCTGGAGCTACTGTACGGCAACTTGTTTCATTAGTTTTCGAACGTGCTTTGGTTGAACAAGAGGAATCCAAAGATGAAGAAGTTCGCGAGGTCAATTTAGAGGAATTGAAAATGTCTCACGGAATGGCTCCAAAAGGATTAAAAACTTGCGCTTCAGATGCTTTCCTCCTATTTCAAGATCTCGTCCAACTAGTTAATGCTGATCAACCTTATTGGCTTTTAGGAATGACTGAAATGACAAGAACTTTTGGATTAGAATTACTAGAATCCGTACTAACAAATTTCTCGTCTGTCTTCTACAAAAATCCAGAATTTTCATTTCTTTTAAAAGAGCGTGTCTGTGCATTAGTAATTAAGCTTTTTTCGCCAAATATCAAGTATCGTAATGTCGTTGTTCCTACTCAACCATCAGCACCACACGACAAGCCCTATTTTCCAATTAGTATGAGACTTTTACGTGTTGTATCAATTCTCATTCAGAAATATCATCAACTCTTAATCACAGAATGTGAAATCTTTTTATCACTTATAGTGAAATTTTTGGATCCAGATAAGCCTACATGGCAACGTTCGCTAGCATTAGAAGTTTTACACAAAATGACTGTACAACCCGAGTTACTTGTCTCATTTTGTCGTTGCTATGACCTAAAAGATCATTCAACAAAAATCTTTCAAGATATAATTAATTCATTAGGAGCTTATGTCCAAAGTCTTTTTGCATCACCTCAAATGATGGGAGCTGGAGGAAATCTTCAGTCAACTCCACCCGCAATATTGGCTGGATTACAAGTTGGTTCCGGAATGTCACCGCAATCAGGATTCTTTTTCCGAGGAGTTTGGTTGCCTTTAGTTATGACTTTTCCAACTGGACAATCAAAATCGTTTTATTTAGAGATGCTCGAAAAAACCGAACCTCCAGTAATCCCTGATGGCTATGGAATTTCTATAGCATATGCCTGTCTTCTCGACATTGTCCGATCTATCTCATTAGCAATCAATGGACCTTCAATTGTAAGTTTTTGACTGTTATCTTATTCGATGAGAACATAAAACTAGTTTTTTTTTTTAAATGTATTTTAAACTTCCAGCTTGGCGAAGAAAAGCCAGTTCCTTATAAATCGCGTGTAAGTGAGGAAGATAGGATTCTTCATTGTCAAATAATAAATTCGAGTTGGTGTGGATTATTAGCTGGATTAACTCCATTAATTGATGCCAGCACAGATGAAGCGATGGCAGAGTGTGTATTAAAATCTATGCAAAATTATGCTGCTTTGTGTGGAATGTTGGATTTAAGTACGCCTCGTGACTCGTTTGTAACAGCGATTTGTAAAGCTTCTTTACCGCCTCATTATGCACTGTCAGTATTAAATATAGGATACCAAGGAATGAATATGAAGGGAAGTGTCATGAGAACTGGAAGTCAGGATATGGGGAATCAATATATGCATCCACAAATGCATGATGATAATCAACAACGATTTCCAATTGTTGCTGTTGGAACGCCCTTACCTACAAGTTCTTTACAGCCTGGAGCACATCAAGGTCCAGTTATGCTGACTGCCAAAAATCTCCAATGTATGCGTGCAATATTACATTTAGCTCATTGTCATGGTGGCATTCTAGGCTCTTCATTTTTCATTGTGTTGGCAACGTTACAACATTTAGCATGGATTTTAGGGCTAAAACCATCAACAGGTGGAAGTCTACAAGCCACACAAAAACCAATGGCTGATACAAATTCAATAACACAAGTTATGGCTGACTTACCCGTATTATCGACAATGTTGAGTCAGCTTTTTGAAAGCAGTCAATATCTTGATGATGTTGCTCTTCATCATTTAATCGATGCTCTTTGCAAGTTATCACATGAATCAATGGAACTCGCTTACAATAATCGTGAACCGTCATTATTTGCTGTAGCTAAATTACTAGAAACGGGACTTGTAAATTTAAATCGAATTGAGGTTTTATGGCGTCCATTAACAAATCATTTATTGGAAATTTGTATTCATCCACATAGTTGTATGCGATTGTGGGGCGTTGAGGCAATAACTTATTTAGTAAAGGCTGCACTCCAATATAAATACGAAGTTCCTTTAAAGGACAATATGAAACTTCAAACATTATTACTCGGTCCGTTGTCTGAATTAAGTAGCATTCCCCATGGAGATGTACGTCAGAGACAATTGGAATGCGTACTACAAGTTTTAAATGGAACTGGAGAAATTTTAACTTATGGATGGCCATTAATCCTTGGTATTATTGGAACATTTAATGATCATCATGGAGAAGCACTTATTCGAATAGCATTTCAATGTCTTCAATTGGTTGTGACTGACTTCTTACCCGTTATGCCTTGGCGTTGTTTACCGCTTTGTGTCAACACAGCAGCAAAATTCGGAAGTCAAATGCAAGAGCTGAATATATCTCTTACAGCTGTAGGATTAATGTGGAATATATCAGACTATTTTAATCAAAATCAAGATAGATTGAGTCAGAATGTTGGCGATGACATCTCAGTTCTTCCTGATTTTCCACACACATTAAACATGCCACACTTTGATAAGCTTTGGATGGTATTGTATGCTAGATTGGGAGATTTATGTGTCGATCCAAGACCTGCTGTGAGAAAATCTGCAGGACAAACTTTGTTTTCAACAATTACTGCTCATGGAAATTTACTCAATCATCCAACATGGCAAGCCGTTATGTGGCAAGTTTTATTTCCATTACTAGATAAAGTTAGGACTGCATCAAATTCCGCAAGCAATGAAAAAGTTGACACAAGCGGAAACATTTTAATTCATCATTCGAGAAATACAGCACAGAAACAATGGGCCGAGACACAAGTTTTAACATTGTCTGGTGTATCAAGAGTAAGTTTAAAAAAAAATTCCTCATTAATTTTTAAAAAAAAATTTTCTCATTTATTCTCGGAAGGTTTTTATCACGAAATTCAAGTTACTTCAGACGATTGGGGATTTCCCACGTGCATGTTCTCTTTTGTTGGAATTTATTGAGTGCTCAGCACTTAGTAAATCGAATGAGGTCTCGTTAGCGGCACTCAAATCTTTTCAAGAAATTCTTTACAACAAATCAATTAATTTAACAAAAACAAGTGGCGAAAATGATGATTTGTGGAATGTAAGTATATGCCTTAAATGTGTGTTATATTCCATTTACTTATTAATTTAGTAACTATTAAATAGGGAGCTTGGAGAGTATGGCTAAATGTTGGAGTCGAAAGTACAAAATTATCTATGGGTGACTCTGAAAAGTCATCAGATGAAATTTACATTCCAAGTCAAGCATTTCTGACTGCACTCGTCCAAATATTTCCAGCTTTATTCCAACATATCCATAGCCATTTCACAGAGGAGGATCTCCGGAAGCTTTGTGATGTTCTTATGAATGCTGTTATGGTTCCTGTTCATAGTGATTCAAATCATTTAATAATGAGTGCCATGTCAGATTCATTATTGACTCCACTTCATGACGGAATTCTCGATTGTATGGAGCTTCTTCAAAAGGAAGCTATATCAGGAACAACGCCTTTGAACACTATCACATGTGCTGTTTTTAAGCAACTTTTAAGCTTTAGTCGTTTTGCATGTACACCGCCATATTTTGAAAGCCGCAAAAGAAATATGCCACAAAATACAATGGAATGGGTCAGTATGAACTATATTCCGTTTGGAGAAAAGTCAATGAGTGTTGCTGTAAAGTTATATCAACAAACAGCGAGCGATGAACGAGTCATTGAAGGACAAATTTTACATGAAATAATTAAAGCACTTTCGTTACCGTTAAGCTTAAAGTATAAATGTATGTCGAGCAGTACATGGAAACTGGCTGTTACAAGTTTGATGTCTGTATTGCACTATGGGCTTCCCGTTGCACGTAAAAATACAAAAGAATTTGCAAATATGTGGAATGATTTGTCTGATACTTTAGATAAATTTTTATTCCCAAAGAGGTAGGTCATTGCTCTATATTAAGGTTATCAATTAAAATCTCATTATGCTCCATTTTTTAACTTTCAGTGTCTGTCAAATTGAAGATAGAGGACTTGATGAATTAGTGCTTGATGAGGCGATTGATTGTCAAATAATTGAACAATTGCGTGATGAAGTTCTTACATATTCTAGCGAAATTCCTCATCAATTTATTTTAAATGTAGTCGTTTTATTAAATAAGGGATCTATTCATTCAACAGCAACGAATACAAATCCAAATCCAGGTTGTGATGTCGAATTAAAGTTACGTGAAGAATTCGCAAAGACTTGCTTTGAAACATTATTACAATTCTCATTATTGGAAGATAATGTAAGTAAGGAAATGACAGGCATTCAATTAACAAACAGCGAAGGTGGTGTTGCCGGCCAGCTTGCAATTACTGCTTTACTACATCGTTTTGAGGAGGTTTTAAAAAAGTTTAATGATGATGAGCGACAAAGTGGAAAATGTCCATTGCCAAGGTATCGATTAAGTGAAATTTCATTTGTTTTGAAAGCTGTTGCAACACTTATAATATCAATGAAGAAGGCGCCTCCAACCAAAGGTAATTTAATATTAATTAAATTTTTCATTTAAATTCATATATTTAATCTTCTTTATCGATAGTCGGCAAAACAGCATGGGAACAATTGATTGGACTGTATCCATATTTAGTCGATTGTACAACAACGTCATCTCAAGAAGTATCTCGCTCTTTAAGAGAAGCACTGCTTCAATACTGTGATCTATTAAATCCACCACCAAACTCAATTCAACTTAATGGAAATTTACCTGCTAATGGCTTATCATCAAGTCATTGCTAACAGCAAAATGTCCATCTTACTCATGATTTCAAATACTTTTAAATGAATCATAAATTCAAAAAACATTAAAATAGAATAGCTTAAAATGAAAGATTAACTTTAGGACTTAAAATCTTTTTCAATTTCATGTTTTTCCTTAAAGTTTTGCATGCAAAGGTTTTATAAAATAAATTATAATCGAATGAGAGAAAGAGAGAGAGAGACACACAACAATCAGCAGGTATTGTTTTGCAAGAAATTCTCTTAAATTTATACAAAGAATGGAAACGAAAAAATCATTAATAATTTTTAAAGCAATAATCAAGAAAAAGTTTTAAATGAAAAAAAAAAAAATCTTTTTTGATAGATGAGTAGACGATAAATAAATCTAGAAGCATTAATTCATTTCTTTTCCTATTGTTGAAATATTAAATTATTTTGAAAGTATTAATTTATGTTAAATATTGTTTATTATTTGTGGTTTATATATTTTCTATTAAAGACAAAGTTTTTCGACTAAATGCGAAAACATTGATGCCAAGAATAATCGGATTTACAGAGATCATCAGCCTTAAAACGAGATGTTTTAGACAATACAAAAATATATAAAAAAAAAAAAAAAATAAACAACTTTCTATGAAACACGGAAGTAACTTTTGTGTAAATTACTTTATCAAAAAAAGAACATTTTATAGAATTAGACAGTAAAGAAAACTAATTTAAAATTGTAAAGGAAGCTCTGATGAAAAATGTGCAATGTTTATGTTTCCTCTCTTATTTATAAAACATAAAAAAACTTTCACAATAATTGCGTGTGTAAAGATGTGATTTATGTTGAATGATTAAAATTTGCAAGAAATAAAAAATTCATGAAGATGTTATATTATTTTGATTATTAGATATTAAAGACAATTATATTTTGTTTCCAAAATCTTTTACGTACCTAATAAATAAAGAAAATAATAAAAATAATAATATACATGTGGTCATTTGTATTTTATTTACCTTTAAAGAGTTTAAATTCAATGACTAATCTCTTACTAATTCAGATTGAAAAGGCACTGAAAATTGGCAAAAACAGCATTAATAGTGCTGAACATTACAATTTAAGCAGCATCATAGATTGAAAGATAAAGCTTCAAATTCAGATTGACGATTTTGGAGTCAATGGAAGGTTATTCAAAGGCATTCAACACCTAGGATGACATCAGTATTACAAACAGCTTATATAGATGAAGAAGACGAAGAAAAACAACAAAATCAGAAAGAGGGCTGAATCTTGTATAAATACAATCTTAAAGGACACAAATAAAAGTGTACCGCAGCGTCCTTGAATGCAAGACAAAAACTAAAACTATACACAATTTACATAAGGTAAGCAAATAAATAGTCTATACTTTATTTAGAAAATTTAAATGACTTTATTCTTTAGTTACAGCATAAAAATGCCTTTGAATTCATTCCAAAAAAAAAGTAATGAATTACAATCAGTTTATAGTTTGTTGGATAAAGTTTAGGTATGATGGTAGACAATCTTATAATTATATACATAATTAAATTAATAAACAAAAAAAAAGTTGTTTAAAGGAAGGAAAAATGTAATAACGTAATTAGTCGAGAATATAAAAGAGTTTCCCGCTTATTAAAATAAAAAATGCTTTTTTTTCGTGTTGTATCACCATAAATTACTATAACTCATTAATCAAATAAACATTTTAAGCATAACAATTTACAAAGCTTCTTTACTAGAAGCATAAAAGCATGCTGCTTGTTCATCGCACATTTTTGCGTTCAAAAGATTTGCTTTATGTAATAATACACACTTTCTCATATCTCATACATAGAATAATTATCATTAAAAAATACTTTATGACTCGAAAGATTTTACTGAATTAGCTTTGTTAATAATTTGTAGCTTTTTTATGTAAAAAAAGTATAAAAGGTATAAAAATTGTATTATGGCCACTTATCAAAAGGTTTTAACGCATTTATGTACAATTTTTTTGTATCTCTTTTCATTTCTTTCTCAATTTTTCTTTAAATTAATTAATATTATCTTCATCCGCCTTATTTACTGATGAAACGCGATAAATCAGGAAATTTAAAACCCTGGAATGATTGAGTCTGTTGTCTTGAGCGTGGAACTCTTTGTGCTGGTGGTGGACGTAAATCTGCTGAATCTCTTATATTTGTACTTTGAAGGTTTGAGCCGCATTGTGCGGAACAAACATCATCTCTTAAAATAACATCTCGTGGCCATTCACGAGCCAATTGTGCGCAGTCTGTTATTCTTAATGATGCACATTGTGGCTAAAAAAAAGATCATTAATCATAATTTACTAAGTATTGATATTACTTTTGCATACTAACCCCTTCGTTTGTACAAATACAGCTAGTACAAGGTGTTGGGAATGATGATTGACCAACACCTACTTGTTTTCCTCCAATTGTACATCCTGAAACAACATTCTCGCGCCATGCATTCAGATCGATTTGTGGCATTGAGTGGCATGAAACTCTTGGGTTCCTATTAATTCATGTAAATTATAGTTAATAAACTATTAAGGAACATAAAATTGTTAAAAGTCTTACAAGAAATTGCTTGGCAAGTCAAATGCAGCTCTTTGCATATCTCCAGGCAAGTCTAAGTTCTCGCAAACAACTTTCGAAAGTGTTGTCTTTCTCAATTCTGTCAATTGTGCTTCAGTAAAACGAATTGCTGGGTCTGCATTTTCATACCTTTAAAGATTTTATTTTTGATACATTTTTTTTTTCGAAATTAAGGCACAATAAAGTCACATACCAAAAACGATCACATTTTCTCAACTGCCTAAATTGAATAGCTATAATACAGGCAAATGTTGGACCTACCAAACCACCTTGTAATGGTCGTTCTGACATTCCACCTAAAATTAATAAAATTAGATTAAAACTTAAATCATAAGTTGACAAGTTGAATGGTTTTTTACCTGGGAATAAGTCAATATCATCAGGAGATGGATAGATTCTCTTCAAACGGTTAATAACCTCTGTTGGAATTTCACGCGATAAGTCATCCCACGTTTGTGCTCGTTTCAAATTACATAATGCTCGATAGTGATTATATGATGGAATACCATGATCGCGACCGCGATGAACATTAAGTGCAACGAGATCAATGCCTGAGAATGGAATCTTAACATCTTCGAATAAATGGTTTGTAACTTCACCAGTTATGAATTGATCAAGTGTCTCCATTGGTGTGGCGACTAAACCACGTAAAATTTCATCCAATATTTGTGGCTGTAACAATTGATCAGTTTTGAAGAATCCATTACGTAATAAAATTGGTGGATCAATTGGTTGATGGTTAACACTCAAACGTGGAATGTGTGGTCTCAAAAGTGAGTGTCCAATACGATAAGCTGCTGAGGCGAATTCAGTTACAATAGCTGGATTACAGTTTGGATTGTATTCTTTATAATATCCTTGAGGCAACAATTTCAATCCATAGAGATTAACTGCGTTCCAACTGAGGATACGTGGAAGGAATTCGTTATATGTAATGTGTTGATTTTGTGCTGAAACTATACGTCTTGCATGTTGGAATAACTGATCTCCGGTCCAATGAGGATTGACTCCACGTAAACCTTCCACAATTCTGTTATGTTCACGTACGAAAACTGTGTGAATTGCAGTCAAACCAGGCTGTTCTGAAGCTCTTCCATCACCAGCAATGAAGCAATATCCACTGGCTGATTTACATTCAGGATGTGATGGTGACAACGGAAGTAATTCCTTACCACGTGTTGGATGAATAGTAGTATTCAAACGACCTGAAGATCCTCTCAATTGCCGTGCAACACATCCATTTTCACCATAAACTTGGGAGGCATCAAGAAAAGCTGTATTTTGATTAATTTGTTCTCGAGGACCTAATGATTGCTGTCCTGGCAATGATCTCATAGATGGGAAACATAATCGTTCTCCACTTGTAACATTTACTTCTGGATAGAAATGATCTCTTGGTGGAACGGGGAATGGACTACATTCTGGATGAACGGTTCTTGGTGAATTACATGAGCGACAGCTTGGAATTGATTCATGGAAACCTTTATGAATTGGAGTCATTGTCAAATCGTGGTCTAAGAACTGTGCAAACTGCATGACCATCAAAGAATAACGCGTGTGTAAATTGGAAATATCAGGATGAATAAGTGTTGAAACGACACGTGGATTTGGGAGTGGTGATCCATTTGTGGAAATTGAACGAGGCTTCGAAACTCCATCATCGTATTGTGATGGAAGTAAACGAGCGAAAACAGTTAATGATTGACCAAGAGTTGGATTCCTTAAATTATTACAATAACCAGTTAATGTTCTGAATGGTGTCTTTGTATCACAAGGAGCTGTAAGATCTTCACATTGTGGCTCAAGTGTAACTGGTGAGATTGTTCCAGTCGAGAATGAGTTAACATCAATATTGGAAATACTGTTAATAAAGTCATCTTGACCATTGCTTAAATTGTTATCAAATACTTGTCTTTTTCGCCTACGAATATTGTGTAAAGTTCCAAGCAGTTCATTAGTAGCAATTTCGTAGAAATGAGATGAATTTGCAATAAGAAGTGCATTCTTATTTGCTTTACTGAAAGAAGCTGCAGTTCCATCAGGTGAGCGAGCATCAATTCCACCTTGAGCTAACCATGATTCGTATTCAAAGCGGTTTCGATTCATCATTTCAATCTTTGCTTTACCAAAAGCATCATTAATGAGTTCCGAACTTAAATCTGCCAATTCAGGAATGTGAGTGCTGATTGTTGTATCAAAAGTTTCAATAACAACTTCAACTTCCTCCGATTTCCACGCACTCAAATCTAATCCAGATAAATGATCACATGAAAGCTGTGCATTTAAATATGGATCTTCACGTAGAAATGCTTTTGGTTGTGAGGCTTTGACTCCATCTGCGGCACACAAAAGACCGGATAGAGAAATACGACGAATAGCTTGAAGTTGATCGATGTTTAATGATGATGGTGGCAAGTCATTTTCATACCAGAAACGATCGCTTACTCTCAAATTTGAGAATTGAATAGCAAAAAGGCATGTAAGAGTAGGACCAAATACTGCACCGAGTGATGGAGCTTCTGAGAGGGCACCGATGATTAAATCGATATCGCTTGGATTTCTGTAATTGAATTTTTCGAATTTTTTGAATTAAGGGAATTCAGAATCAATTAAGAAATTAATGACTTACGAGTAAATTTTTTCCAGAACTTCTCGCCTTTCTTCAGAAATTCCAACAGACTCAATATCATCATAGCTTAAATCACCACTTAGTCCCAAACGAGATTCGCAAATATTGATAGCCTTATGATAAGCTGGAATACCATGATCGCGTCCTCGTTGAATGGCTAATGCAAGTGGTGTAAATTCATCATCAAATGTCTCATGAAGTGGAATGAAGTTTTGTTGTAATGCAGGTCTATTGATTAAAATGTCTGCGGATGCCGTGGAATTCATCATGTCAGCTGGTAATAAACTGTAAAATGCAGGGAAAGCACTGGTCGCGGCTTCATTAAATATTCCAGCACGATTTGCACTTGAATAACCTGAATAGTGTTTGTTTGATACCAATCTGAAAAATTGATCAATATAATTAATGAATGAATGTTGTCATGATGATCACATGGAAAGTGTTATCTCACCTTAATTCATCTTTTGTTACGGTTTGCTGACCAAGAAGAATTGGAAGGAATTCATTGTATGTAATATGTTGAATTTGAGCAATAAGGACACGACGAGCTTCTAAGAATAAAGTTGAATCACTCCAGTCAGGATTTAATTGTGCTAATTCTTCAGCAATGCGATTGTGTTCTTTAAGAAGAATGAGATGAAGAGCACCAATAGCTCCGGCTTCATTGCATCTTGCACATTCATTAATGTCAACTTTGCCACCAAAGAAGGTCCGAATGGCTACAAATTCTTCTTCTGTAGCTCCATATAGACCAGAACCATCAATAAAACCAGATACACCATTCATTTGTTGACGATACTTAAAGTTACATGACTGTGAATCACGTGATGGAATGGAACGAGTATACTCTTTACAATCTTCGCCTGAACGCACATAACATTGAGCTAAATCATCATTCAAGTTTGATTTACTATCGCAGCAGTGCGTCGATTGTGGTGAAATAAATTGGAAGAGATCATAAGCTAAAAGTTGACCCCAAGCTGGCAGCATTGCTGTAATATGCGGATGTTGTGAATCTTTGTTGATAGATTTTTGTAGATGTTGTATAATCGCATCGGGTGATGGAAGGGCATGCGATCCAATTGATGTTCGTGGTACACTCTTGCCGTCAGCATAATCTGGCTCTATTGTTCTCATGAAAATATCACCACGTTCACCCCAACCATGATGATTAACATTATTACATTGACCAGTTGGTGTACGAAATTTACTTGGAGGACATGGCTTCTCATTTACTTCTACATCACATTCATTTGATTTGGAACCTAATCTTTCTAGGAGTAATGCTGAACGAGCTCGTACCCTCAAATCTGATGAGATTGTATCTTCTAATGCTAATGATGTGACGACTAGATGAATGCTGGAAATAAAATTGATAAAATTAAGATCAGTTATTGAAAATATTAAAATAAAATTTATTTTTAATGATATTGACAGTAAAAAGACAGGATTTCAGGTTTCATGCTATTTAGTGCATTTAAATCTTTAGTTTTCACTTCTTCAAGAAATAAATATGCAGGACAAAAAAAAACTTTGTATTAAAATTGTAAACAGATAACATATTGCTAAATCACATGCAAATTTGTTTTATATTTACTCATCATGACAGAAGTAGATCACGGATGTAGGATACTGACATGTGCTTTGAAACACAACTTTGAATTGATTTATGTAAATTTAAAGATGATATTTGATTGAAATGTTACGAGATTGATTTCAGGATGTGATTTAATATGTCAGACTTTAATCATTGTGAAGGAATTTTTATGGATTTTATTATGATTTACTGCGCATTCTTAAAGCTACAATAAAAAAAAATCCAAAAGTATTAACATATTAAATTCTTTCAACTGTCTTGAGTTTTTATTGAATTGTTAAACATCACGGATCATTAAACAATTTCAGAGATTCAATAAAGCATAAAATTTGCATTAATGCAATGGAAAAATTTCCCTTTTACTTTTTTTTTTCTCTCGCTCAACCGACTTCCACAAAATGTGCAGCGTATTTTAAATATCATAAATGCAATTTTCGAAATGTGTACATTAACTTCCCACAAAGGATAGAGTAGATATATCACAAACGTTTTCAAAAGTTATTACAGCATTTTAGTGCATTTTTTTAAAATTTGAATAAACAAAAGTGCAAGGAAGGCTCCTTTTCTGTTATTTCAAATCTACTTCTATTTTTTAATGACGCTACAGATTGTTTGGACCCAAAATGTGCAGTATTTCTTAGAGTAAGTACTCGAAGAAATGTAAAATGATAGTGAAAGTATTCATCTCTTCTGTGATGGCTATTTTTAAACTTTGTTCCTTATAAACTTTAATTTTTACCGCCTTGTCTAGATACCGGTTATTATAAATTTAACTTAAACTCAATAGCAGAATTAAATACTATTTATAAAATACTCAACATCAAAAAATAGGTTAGTGAACTTGAAAAACGTAGAGTGCTTGTGGCATTTTCAAGAAATAACTCAGTAGTTCAGTGCATTTCAAACACGATAATATAAAAATGTGTGAGTGAAAAATTGCTTATTTAAACATTAATGAATCATTCAGCAACTTTCAATTTCTTTGTGAACAACTAATGTCTACAGTTTTAAATGACCAACAGTAATAACTCTTAAGCAATGGTTTCCTGAGAGACAAATCTTAAGATAAAGTCACGCCGTGAGTAGAGATGGCACTAAGCCGGTATTTCAATGCTCCTAAAGCAGTTTTTTAAGACATTCGTATGTAATTTTCAAGATTCTTAAGTAGATTGGACTAGTTTGGACAAGAAACAAATTTTAAAATTTGATATTGCGGGTAGATTAGCTAGTAATTAAACCGCATTTAAGCTTTTATTTTCACCTCAATCTTAAAAAATACATTTGTAGATATATCAATGAAAGCTGACAAAGTTTTAACAAAGTTCACAAAAAATATTCGTGAGTGACGCTTACTTAAATTGATTTTCTGACATAACGCCTTAACTTTAGGAAGTAAGTTCTAAGTCAAAAGAAAGCAATTTTTGTTTTTTTACAAGATATAATAACTTTGAAATTTGTCACTATTGTAGTTTCGGAGATGTTTAAGAAACCAAAGCGTCACTCACGAATGTTTTTTTTTTGTCGGGGCCCAAAAATTCAATATCCAACGTTAAATTATCTACATTATAACAGCATTTCATCTTTATTTTAATAAAATTATACGATCTACATTTGGGCAGCATCTTATCTGCACTTGATACGATAAAAATCATCTGCATTATACCTTTTTAAAGCAACAGCATTTCATCTGCATTTTAGGGAAAACAAATTTCATCTGCACTTTAGCAGTACCATCTGCATCTTGGCAGTACTATCTGCATATTAGGGTAGCTGCATTTTAGGGATTTCTAGATTGAGGTTTTATTTTCTTGAAACTTAGTTTTATATGTTCATTTTTGCACATATAAAACATTTTTAGTTTTATGTGTCACTAGTTAATGATTAGATCTGTAAATTATGCAATCGCTTTCATACGGAAAATATGTATCACTTTTTGTCTCTTTCTTTTTTGTCTCAGATTGTCACATGCTTTCAGAAACATATAGTTAAAATCTATTTATGTTATCTAAAACGTTAATAAATCTATTTCCTTCTCTCTCTCTGTTCAATGTGCATATCATGCGGTTTCGCCTGACTGATCAATAATATTTTATTGTTGTTTTCATCATCATCAAAAATGTTTTTATGTCTACTCATTTTTTTTATGTGAAATTGGAAAAATAAACTTGATCGTGTTGGATTTGAAAATTATAAATGAGATGACAAAAAAGAAATCTTTCTCTCTCTTCACATAATTTAGTTGCATAACTTTGTATTATCTTTCATTTTTAAAAATCTCTGGATGAGATTATTAAATTTCATTACGTAATTTTATTATCACCAATGTTGATGTCGTGCATGTTTCGAATGACTTGTTTACATTTTTTATGGTTCGTCAAATGAACTTCACTTTTGCACTTAGTTGACTTTTGCTTTGTTTTGTTTTTATTTCAAAATGTTTTAAACATGTCGGGGGGTTTTTTTTTTGATGGTCAAATATTGAGTAACAGACCATTATCAGTGGAGTAAAACATCGAGAAAAAAAATATTATTATTAAATCATGCGATGTAAAACTTACTTTAATGGAACAAAATTTTAAAAACTTTAATTTGAGTGATTTGGATTAGTGACGTCATAGGCAGTGTGATGAACTTTTTTCAAAAATAATAATTTATATTAATTATAATGGATTATTTTAAGTGATGTCAGTAATCAATACTGTTTACTAGAACACTACAGTAATTAAATATTTTAACTGATCAGTGGCTTCAAATTAATTTCTAGACAAACTATTGAAAATGACAGTGATGTTCTTTAGATAAGTTTAAAAAGTTGTAGGATGAAGGTTTGTGCGCTTTTTACTGAGGCAGTCTCATTTATTAGACAAAATTGACATAACTTGAGTTTCAAGTCACATGTACCATGGTGGGAGGAAGTAGATGTACATTCCTGACTTTGTTCTTGAACATTGATCCTGTCTGTTAAATGTTATTTTTAATCATTTTCATAATTATATGAATTGACTTTTTAATGCACAAATTAATCATTAGAATGTAGATTTTAAATCAATTCTAAAAATATCAATAAGGAAATTCATGAACAGTTTGTTGCTATTTATTATAAAAAAGTAAGATTTTTTTTTTGAATTTTATCGAATTATTAAATCTTAAATGTTAATTATAGTGTCTGCTGAATTAAATATCTTCATTACTGGATGCTTAGTTAATTAAATTACTAGTTTAAGATTTGAACTATTGTTTCAATCCATTAAAAAAAAAATAAAATTAATCCAGCGTAAATATTTGTCCAAGCTATCATAATATTGGCAAGTTCATATAAAACATTGCTTATAGATTTCAAGAGTAGCAAAGATCAACATTGACCTTCATTCACCTTAACATTGTCAAAAACTGTTTTTCAAAAGCGTGATGTTAAGGAGTTGAATGGCAAAAAGAGGTAAAAAAATATAGCAACAACACTGCAATAGTGAGAGGAAGGAAAAGAAGAATGAAACCAATTTATATTCATATTTTTGGCTCTTTCGTCGCCGTGTTATTTTTGTGAAAATGCAACTATACTACTTTCCATATATGGATCTTAATTACATTATATCAGTGCTTTTTATTCTATGCGTCATGGCTCTTTGCTCATCTAGTTAATGTCTTATACTTGACTAGACTAAAAAAATATCTGTGAAATGAAAAAGTTTGTCCATCACTGGAATAAATGATGAAGATCGAGAAAGTAAGTGTTCCGTTAATATTTGGCGATTTTCTATGAGATGAGCATTTAAGCGGCAGACATGTTTTGTGAAAATGTCCCATTAATTTTTTTTTGTTGAAAATTTCACTTTCATATTGTACCTATACATTCAAAACATGTAAATTTTATAGCAATAGTTCCATAGTAAGAAATGATTGTATCTTGATAATGTTAATTGATGCTTAACACATGTTCATCACTCGCTCAGCTATTTTGTCGAGGAATTCGTGAGATGAATCCAAACAACAAAATGTCACTTATTGTCATGACATAAGAATATGTCAAACTGCTTTGTTCAGAGGAAAAAACAAATAAAAAAAAAATTATTGAAAGTCAAGTGCTTAATGTAAGTGTGTCGAATTCTGTGACATATGATTTAATGAACAAGTAAAATATTTCTTTAATGTTAAGGGTAAGAAAATTTTAAATGAGTTTATTATTGATTTTACATCCGCATTTATGTGACTTCAAGTATGTTAATATATTAAAGTACGAAGCAATGTAGACAAGAAACTACCTTTTTCTTGATTTATGAGAGTATTAACTTTAAAAGTTTAAATAAAGGCTAACTGTAAAGTGGACATCTTTATAAAATTATGGTTTTATATGCCAGCTGATCAGGCGACAAATATTGCATTTAAAGGAATTTAACTAGGTGCTTATAACTTTCGGTGCTGGGCCTTTCACACATTATTAACTTTCGGTGCTAATGTTATTCTGAAACAATTGCTATGATCAACGGAATGTACTCTTACTATATGGTTCCTAAATAAGTCCACAACTCACTTAAATTATTTCTAAAGCTTAGATCGGAATTTTAGAATCAACAAAAAGTACAATACAAAGAATATAGAATTTAAATTTAAATACCACTGTGTGCCAGATTCTTATTGGTCGGTAGCACATCTCCCAGTTTAATAATTTCATGAGACTGGTGGATGAAAAGTTGCGAAAATATTAAAAATTGTTTCGGAAGTTGAAAAGATTAAAACTTTTTCCGGTCCACATTTCAAATTTTTAG